GGAACCTGAGGTTGTTCCTGCCCAGATGCAAGAATAGTTAGGAAATTTTGTAACCCATCTGTACCTATTTCCAAATCTGTCTTGGGTGTGCACCTGAAAGGTTACAGTGAAAGTCCTGGAAGCTGTGGGTGGGTTTAATTACTTATGAGTGTTTATAACATCAGCTTTTATACATTGCTAAGGATTCTTGCCTTTTTTTTTTCTTTTTTATTCTAGTTTCTCCTTCTGGATCTGAGAGTGTTGCTTTCGTAGAAGAAGATCTAAACAGCGAGCTGATGAACGAAGATATACGTATCCATAGCTGGCCTTGTTCTTACTATTTGGACACCAACAAACAATGGGTCTCTGGCAGACTCTCCTTGACTCCTGTTGCCATCAAATTTACAGCTGACAAGACTGGGGAGCTTTTGGTCAATTTCCATCTTTCCAGTATCAGTGAAATCAAGAAGGAATCTTCAAATTTAATCTTCAGCTCTCTTACCATTTTAGAGAAGAACACCAAGCACTGGTTCAGTTCTCTGCAGCCCAGTAGAAATGTGGTGTTCAACATCCTTGAGCACTTCTGGAGGGAGCAGTTGCTTTCAAGCCAAGGTGGAGGAGCAGAAGCAGCACCTTTGCAGTCAACAAAGGGTAAAGAACTGACGGGTTTATTGACTGGATCACAGAAACGACTGGAGGACACAGCAAAAGTGCTGCATTACCAGGGCGAGCAGTTTGATAACATCATGAGAGGACTCAACAAGATCGAAGGGGATATGGATGTAGCAGACAGGTACGGTACTGTAGCATCCTCTGAGCTTAGCAGAGGTTGTGGATCTTATTGTTTCTACCTGAAATTTATGGGGCAGATCCACAGAGGTCTTTATGAAACTAAACTGTTGACTTTCACTGGAAGTTTAAGCCCCTGACGGTCTTTTGTGGGTCTAGTTCTTAGAATCATAGAATGGTTTGGGTGGGAAGGGACCTTCAAAGGTCAACTAGTCCAACCCCCCTGCAGTGAGCAGGGACAGCTTCAACTAGATCAGGTTGCTCAGAGCCCCATCAAGCCTAATCTTGAATATCTCCAGGGATGGGACCTCCACTTCCTCTCTGGGCAACCTGTTCCAATGATCCACCACCCTCATATAGTTCTTGTTATAAGATGTTTCTGTATTTCTGGCTTTCCTTCTGTGTGACATTTTTTGACCCTGGTGAGGTTTTTTGTGTATATATACTTGTCCTCTGTCCTTCAAATAACTTTTCAAACCCTTATGACTTTCAACTACAACTGCCAGAAGTAGTAGAGATCTCCAAAATATTAACAACCTGGAAGTTTTGAGAGAATAGGCAGCTAGTTGGGGGGGGGAAGAAATGCAAATTAATGTCCCCACTGAAGGACAAGGTGTGACATTCATATTTTTATTACATATCCTGGAATATCCATAATGAAAAATATTGGAAGTTGGGTTTGATTTTGCCAGTTCTGGACCATCCTGTTTTGCTGTTTCACAGCAAATATGACTACAGTTTTGCTTTTATGATTATTTTCAAAGGAAATGTTGAATATGGCAGGTGGGTTGCTGACTTGAAGACAGTTTCCTAGAGTTAGGAGGAGACAGGAGACAACTCTTGTTGTCTCTTATCAGGAGACAACTGCCAATTATTCTTCAGTTCAAATAGATTGTTTTCCTTTCTCTGTGCATGAAGACAGGCTGAAAGAGTTGGGGCTGTTCAGCCTGGAGAAGAGAAGGCTCCGGGGAGATCTTATAGCGGCCTTCCAATACCAGAAGGGGGCCTACAAGAAAGCTGGGGAAGGACTTCTCATAAGGGCACTTAATGACAAAACAAGGGGAAATGGGTTTAAGCTGGAAGAGGGGAGGTTTGGATTAGATATTAGGAAGAAGTTTTTCACTATGAGGGTGGTGAGACACTGGAACAGGTTGGCCAAGGAAGTTGTAGATGCCTCCTCCCTGGAAGTGTTGAAGGCCAGGCTGGATGAGGCTTTGAGCAACCTGGTCTAGTGGAAGGTTTCCCTGCTGCTGGCAGGGGGGTTGGAACTAGATGATCTTTAAGGTCCCTTCCAATCCAAACCATTCTATGATTCTATGAAAGTCAGCTCTTGAGGCTACTTTTTGCCTACAAAGTGTATGTAGTTGAGGACTTTGGATTTGTTCTTTCCTTCAGAAGAACTTTCCAGCTACACAGAGCAGTGAGGATCGGGTCTGTGGTGTGGATATAGTCAGGGAAATTGTTGTAGGAACAGTACTTCCTTATTTGTGTTATAAAACTGCACTGGTTTTAACCTGGAATACTCCCTGCCTTTAGGTTTGGGTGCAATAAATACATTTTGAGGAAAGAATGAGCATTGTTGAGCAGCATGGAGCTGCTGAGCTTTGCAGAGTGTGGTGGTGCAAGAGCTGGAGATACAGTACTGGACTATTTGTGGTAACCTCAATCAACCACTTAAACCAATGTATTAAAAAAAAAAAACCCCAAAACACCTGAAATAAGAGATTTGGAACACATTTGAGGTGTTGCTTAACTTTAGCTGTTGCAGAACTTGATGTGAACAGTAAATGGTTGGTGTCTTAATCAGAACATTATGACTTGGGATCTGGCCCAAGTAGAGTAGATCAATGGGCCAGGACCAAGTGCATGAGGT